CAAGACGTTTCTACCGTTGGGTCATTTAGATTTCCAGCCTCGGCAGATTGCCTGTCTCCTACAATCTATGGTGCAATTATTCTCTCATCAGGACAAGGCCTTATCTGCCTATTTCGGATAAAAACATACTTCCAGCAGACTCAGTACGCTTTTCTCTGGAGCGGGTAGAATTGGAAAGCTGGTTGCCTCGGGTTGATTGGTTCTGTTGAAAGTCTAAAACCCGCCTGGGTCTCAGACGCATTCAAATTGCTCCACTGACTATTTTTGTAATTTGTTAGACTAACAAAGCAGAGCCGATCACACACGGCTTTGACACTAAAGTAATCTTATGGCAATGTGAAATTTGGCACTTTTTGCTCCAGAAACTCTCGAATTAGGAGTCATTGGTGGACCAATGGGAAAAAGGTGTTTTGCAAGGTATAGACTGCACTACAGTAAACAAAGACCTTGCGTAGAACTTACGTGGGCAGTAGCCAGGGCATTCTTCTTCTCGACTGGTGAGCAGTCCTTTCCGATGTAGACAAAGAGACCCTCCTTTGACTGGACCATGTAAACGTCGTCGGATTTGACCTCACTCTTGGGCGCGCTGCCCTCCGAGACCAGAGTTATCTCCAGTTTGCCGCTTTCATCTGAAACTCTGGAGAATCAAAGGAACAATTAGTAAACCGGAGAGCGGCTGTCGTACTTCGAAAAGCACCATGTTTAATAAGATCATACTGTAGGCACTGATACTAACAGTTCAACAGGATTCGGAAGCATAAAATCCCCGTCGCCTTACGACGCTGATGCCGAGTAAAAAAGGTCAGCGGTATACGTATCTTTGCGAAATTAATGATTTATATATGTAATAAGGTTGGTCGAACACGCAACAGCAATGCGAAGGACTGAAGTCCGCTCTCAGGCCGCGGTTGACTTGACGGGGGTACTGACACTGCTTCGAGTTCGAGAGGTAACAGACGCGTGAGCCGCGAGCTGCTAGCTCATGGCTATTTCGGTTACCGGTTCATAAATAAGCGCAACGACCTCTCGCCCATATTCAGTCTTCCGACCTCGTCTGGTTAGTCACACCGGCAACACGCAGTCAACCATGACTTCCAGTGACGGTGTCGGTAGCCCAGATGGCTGAGTACTTATTATGCCAATAATCAACACTGATAAGTGAACTGCAGAAATTAACAATTCGATTGCAGGCAATCGAGCCAGCATCACACCGAGTGCTACTTTCAAACGGTTGTGAGGTTGAATAGCAACTGCATTCTCTAAATACTGTAACCCTCCCTTATCTATTGTCTTCTCTGCTGATAGGCTCAGGCGAGAATAGGGAACGCTCGGCAAATAGCGTTTTTGTCCCAGTGGCGATTAGTAAGTTTACTTCCGAGAGTTGGTACAAGTTGGAGAAAAAAAGGGGAGGGACTATGCCTAACTCAAGTAAGCTGTACTTTGGGAGAAATCAACTTGTTCCAATTTGGATGCGGACGACAGACTAACAGACTTCAGGCTTTGCATCGTTCTTTTGCCCGCGACCAGAACGGGACGTGTAACCTGATTGTTATCGTCTTAGCCGTTACAAGCGGGTGCTTTACTAAAACATTAAGAGATAGCCCTTGTCTTTGCCGGCGATACTATCTGCCTACTTCCAGGTATTA